GGAAGTAGATGCCGGAGGAAGACATCGGAGGGGAGGATGGGTGAAAAGGTGGCCGTCGGTCATGGGAGGATAAGAAAGGTGCGGTTATATTATGATGGGTAAGTTGTCAATTAATAAAACAATAGAGGATAAAATGGTCATAAAATTTCAGTTCTGAGAACTCATCTCAGTTCCATGGAGATAGCCAAGGAGAAGAGAGTTCCATCAAATTTGATGGAACCCACTTCCACCAGGAACCCACTTCACACACACCAAACAGGTTTAAATTTGGATTCCACTTCCACTTCCAATTCTTTAGGCCCAATTCCAACATACCAAACGTAGCATAAATATATCTGATGCCATATCCAATATTTATTTATTTATTCTATATCACATCATCGCATATCACCCACCCCAAATTTCCCTGCAAGGCGATAAACAATTAAAGAAGAAGATGGAAGACCGAAAAGGCGCGTGCCGCACGGTCAAAGATGGGTTCAGAGCCACGTGCCCACATCCTATTGCATGCCAAACATTACATTCTTAAAGATGATCATCGTTTGGTGAGGATGGCAATAAACGCACAGAATTTCCCATTTCTAATGATGCCCACTCTCGAAGACATTAGACCCGGGACACTGGTACCATATAATAATTTAATACCCACCTAATTATTAAATTATTTTTATCTTAAATATTAAATATAAACCTGTTTCTTATAGTTTATCATTTTTTTTTAAATTATCCTTATAAATACTTCACCAACTATAATCAAGTAGAAAAGAGAAAGAGGATATTAAAGAAAGTAATTATAGTGTATTGGGAAAAACATGTCATATTTCTTATAATTAACTAATTTACCTAGCTTTCTCAATCTAATCAAATTAGTTAAATAAATTATATTAAAGATTAAAAGAGTATAATAATTAATTCATCACCCCCCCCCAAAAAAAAAAAAAGGGAGATATCCTGTCAAACCAGATTAAGCAATTTTCTGACTGCTCCGAGCAGCATTCACGCTGAAGCTAAAACCAGTGGTGTACTATACACATACGCATTTGCTATTTTAATATAAAGATCAAATTGAGGAATTTATTCTGATATCATACGTAAGATTTCAATATTTTATTTCTTAAAAAATTATTTTATCTCATAAGTTTATAATTTATTTAAAATTATCATGATTAATTCATATATTAAAAAATTCCCATAATCTGAAATACAAATTAGTATTAAAGAGTATTTCGTGAAAACCAACATATTTTTTTTATAAATAATTAATTTTTTAAATTCTATATTTTATTACTATTCCGGTCCTTAAGTTAGTTATTTATAAAAAATATATGTTGTCTTCTCTAAAATACTATTGTTAATTATATGTATTAGTTTGAATTACTATTTAATTGAATTTTTAATATGTGCAACTACTATAAGAACTACTGTGAAAAATCGATAAATATAAAAGATAAAATAAATGAGATCTTATATTTATGACTAAATTGAAAGTCAAACTAGCTCTTTATATTAAGTACTGGAAGTAATATATAAAATACTATCTCCAATCTTTAATATAAGAGCTAGTAACTAATTTGAGGAGATTAAAAAAATTATTTAATTAGTTATTTGTAATAAATAGATATTATTTTTCTGTTAAATTACTATTATTATAATGACTATTTAAAATCAAAATAAAAATAAGATAAATTTTTGGGAAAATTCCAGAAAGGTCCCTCGAATATATGAAATCCCAGATTGGGTCCTGGAATTTCCAAAATGACAGAAAGGGTCAGTAACCCAATCTGTCATTTTGCAAATCAAGAGAATTGACAATTTTTTGCCCTCATTATATTCATTCACTACAATGATTTAAGAAATCACTATAAGGGTTTTAAGCATTACCTAGATTCATGTAGCGAAAACTACTCGTTTTTTCATATTTAGGTGTCTTGTTATTAACTAAAAATAATTGTAATCACTAGAACAATGTAAGTATTACCTAGATTCGTGTAGAGAATAACTAACATTCACTTTTTCATAGTCAGGCACCCTTATTATTAAGTACAACTAAATCTTGTAAATATTTAATCAACTATCTTGTAATCACTATAGAACAGTGTAAGCGTTACTAGATTTGTATAGAGAATAAATAACTACTCACTTAGTCAGGGGTAAAATTGTTAATTGATCTTAATTCACAAATGACAGATGGGTCACTGACCCTTTCTGTCATTTTGGAAATTCTAGGAACCAATTTGGATTTCATATATTCGAGGGACCTTTTCTGGAATTTTCCCTAAATTTTTATATTAAGAACAGAGAATAGTACGAAAGAGTAGATTCGGTGGCCGACAAAGTCTTATCATGATACTCTAGCTTCAGAACGTACATTCAATGCTCCTTTGTTCCTTAATTTTGCTGATTGAAGATTAACGGCGGAGTCCACGGCCGTTCCATCTTTTAACATAATCAAATTTGAGATAATAATATTTAATATTCTTCCGATTTTTAATATAGAATTCAATTATTGAGTTGGTTTTGATCCTAAATATAAAATCTTTTTATATTTATTAATTTTTTCTAAATAATTCTTTTAGATACTTCTTCAACTATAATCAAGTAGAAGAAGGAGGGGGAGTAGTAGATGATTAAGAAAGATGATTATGGTTGTTTTAGGAAAAATGTGTCACTTTTCTTATAATTAACTAACTTATATAACTTTGTTAATCTGATCAAATTAGTTAAATAGGTTTTATATTAAGGACCAAAAAAGTATTAAATAATTGTATAAAAAATGTAAGAAAATAAGAAAATAAATGCTGTCCTTGTTGTCTTTTTTTATTTTTTATCATGATCTTAATTTACAGTATTTAGGATGGAGCAAAGCAACTCGTTATCTGGAGGATTGGCTTGGGCCATTTGATGATGGACTATAAGACTCCTGCGAATTGAATCAGTTTAGTTTGAGGCATTTATTACAATAAAATTACAATTGCAATTTGCAAATACCACTATTTGTTTTTTTTTTAAAACAAATGCAATTATTTTTTTCAAAGTATATGTATCCTTTTATTAAAGACATTCTCATTAAGGTAATTTCGGTACTAAATGTGAATACCTCTCCTAACAAAAATTCAACCTTAATTTACTGTATCGTGAGTGACTAATTTTTTCTGTCAGACCCAATTCTTTTTAGTATTACAAATTCTCTTTTCAGGAGACTCAGTCCGCGCACTGGGCCTCATTTGTCTTTCCATGGCCCACTTAAAAGCACTTGGCCCATTTAGTAGCCCAGTTTTTTGAGAGGGATAAGCGAAAGCGATGACTGTTGTGTATTCTTGGGAAATTATAATCAATCGACTAGTCCTCAATCCTCATGCCCTTGTGAAAAAGAACTGCTTTGTGTGCAAATTTCTCCCTCGCACATTACATTTCCCCAAACACTAACACTGATGTCATACTTGTAACAAATATAATGATTACGAGCACATCATAAAGTCATAAACAATCCAAGAGACACACAAAACGATACCAATTCATAAAAAGAATTAAAATAAGTACAATTTTATTATAAATGAAAAATACTAATTCATCTCAGTCCGCATATCAAATTTAGGCGTTTGTAATAGACCACTTTCTGATGGTAAAAAAAAAAAAAAGAAAAGAAAAAACAGACCACTTCCTCTATCCCCAACGAGGTGCAGCTAGCCTGCCATAGGCTCGAGACCATGCGGGTTGATCCTAAAAAAGACCGCTTCCTGACTGGCTCCCATTTGCCCAACTCGCCCCGCCAACCTCTGTCCTTTTTTATAAATTTTTTTAAATTAAATTATAAATTTTTATAGACCAAATTCTTCTTATTCTTATATTTTTAAATAATTATATGATTAAATTATCTCAAAAGTTGAAATATAAATATATAATTTATTTTAATAATTATTTTATTAGTATAAAAATGATAAAAAAATGAGAAATCAAATTTAGAATCAAAATCTCTAACAAAATACAAATTTTCATGTAAATTAAATGAAAATGACAAAAAAATTTTTATTAAATAAAAATAAAAATAGTGAAAAAAAAAGGGCTGGCGGGTTGACCCATAAGTTGGAGGGTTGCGAGTTGAAAAAAAACCACATCAAAATGGTTCTTTATTTTTTTTTAATCTAACCTGTCACCTTGTAGCAGCTTGGCGGATTGAGCGGCTCTAGCCCCCTTCCCCACAGCCCAATTTTATGTTAGGTCGTTTAAGGCCCAAATCCGTCGTTTTGCCATTGCCGCAGTCAGGGTCGTGGACAACTGTTGCAGTTAAGACGTCGTTTAGTGTGGCCAACAAAGTGTCGTTAGTTTGAGGGACCCCTAAAGGCTTAAACGAACCGTCGCATGGGCTGGCTGATCGCCTTCCGGATTTGGTATTTCGGTGGGAGAGAGCTGAAAACAAAAGTGGATTTCAGAAGAAGCAACTGGATGTTACTACCCACTCTACAACTTCATACATCGCCTTTAAAGATCGATCGTAGATTGAGTTCTTGATTCTGTTTCTGTAGTAGGAAATAGGCTTTTAAAGTTCCCAAACTAGTTCTTTTTTCCTCATGTCGTTTGGATCTTCCCTCATACTGCGCCACCGCGCGGTGGCGCCGCCGCCGCCGCCCCGCTTCCAGTCTTTAGCAACATTATCCGCCGCTTCTCGATTGCTGCCAGGCAGCGAAACCCTAACAATGTCTCCAAGAGCTGCAGGAAAGACAGGCACCTAACAAGAATCTTCTCAAAGCTAAAGAAAGGTTCAAGGACTATTCCTCTCTAGCTCCTGTTCTCTCCCGAGATGACCATCCCCCTCTCTCTGAATCCCAGGCCATCGGTCTAGTGGCCGCTTCTCATGCCAACATTATGCGCGTCATCGTCCCATCTCTCCCCTCATCGGAAGCTTCCGATGAGGGTCTTGAACAATCTTCTTCATCTGCTCGAATTGAGCTGCTATGTTTTGTGAGGAATTTGTTGAAGAAGATAAGAGAAGGGTGGGTTGGTGATAAGGTGCTGGTAGGTTCTATTGACTGGGTGGACCGAAGGGGCATGATTGAAAATGTGTTCGAGAGAAATTCTGAGATACTTGATCCTCCGGTTGCTAATGTGGACCATTTGCTGGTGTTTTTCTCGCTTGAACAACCTAAGCTTGAGCCGTTTTCACTCACTCGCTTTCTGGTGGAAGCTGAGTCAACTGGGTTACCTGTCACGCTAGCACTGAACAAGACTGAGCTTGTGGATAAAGAGGTTAAGTACGCATTTGTTAGATGTTATCCTTAACTTCATCTTCGTGATTAGTCTTTCTAGAAAATTCGAATCTATGTTTTTCTTACCATTTGGACGATCATTTCAATCAGAATTCTTTTAGTGTTGAAGGCTGAAGTGAAATAAATTTTTCCGCATTATCTAGGTTTTTTTTAATGTCCAGTAATCACAAGTCTGAGGAAGATTAGGTGACCGAGATGAAAATAAAAAAGGTAGGCTAGGTGATACATATCTCTAACATTTCACTTTAGCTCAACCGCCAATTTTTGTTAAAAAGCATGGCGGAAGTTTGTTCCTACTGCCTAATTACTAAATGGTAGTGGATTGGAATTTGGAAGTGAGTTTCTTGAACTGTTATGGAATTAGTGCTTTAGCCATCCTTTATCCATTGGTTTATTAAATTGCAGCCCAGCTATGATTCACTTCTTAATGGCTTTGACTCGTCTTCAGTTTTTCAAGTTTCTCGATAACATGTTTTTTAATAAATATGTAGACTCTGGGTTCATGGAAGTCTAGGCTACGCAGCTGGGGTTATGAACCACTATTTTGCAGTGTCGAATCCGGACATGGGATTGATCTTCTTGCATTCAAGTTAAGGGATCTAACAACCGTAATTGTGGGTCCAAGCGGTGTTGGGAAGTCTAGTTTGATCAATGCTCTTAGAAGCAAGAACAATCCTGTTTCGAATGGTACAGACGAGGATAATTGGTTTGAACCTGTATGTTTTGTCTCTTTAGATCTTGTTTTTGTTAGTATTTTCTACCTTTTGTTGGAGTTTGTTACTTGTATTACTTGTGTATGTGTACTGTTTTCAGATTTTAGGCAGCAAGTTGTTTGAAAGTCAGCGTGTTGGGAGGTTTCAACAAGAAGTGGCAGAGGAAGGCATACAACTCGCAATGTTTCTCTGCTTCCGTTATCTGGAGGGGGTTTTATCGCCGATACTCCTGGATTTAACCAGCCTAGCTTATTGAAAGTGACAAAGCAATCACTTGCCCAAACTTTTCCGGAAGTCTGTGTTGTGTTTATTTAATATTTGACGCACCTCAGTGTTGGCTTCGTTTCCCTGTCTAAGCTGACAGCATCTTCTTTCTTTTTCTTTCAGATTCGGAAAATGCTTAGTGCCAATGAGCCTGCAAAATGTTCATTCAACAATTGCTTGCATCTTGGTGAACCTGGATGCATCGTGAAAGGGGACTGGGAAAGATACCAATACTATTTTCAACTTGTTGATGAAATTAGAATCAGAGAAGAGTTCCAGCTAAGGACATTGGAACAAAAAGAGAAGGAGATATAAGGTATGGTAAAATTCCTGGATTCATATTTTTCTTGGGGATGTGGTGAATGGCCTCATTCCAAAATCCTTTTTGGAAGTACCTCTATACCAACAGAGATTATAATTTGGTATGATTTTCTTTTCCGGGTGATGCGTAGTAAGTAACTTCTATTTGGCCCGTGATTTCTTTTGCAGGTACAAGGTGGGAGACATGGGTGTCCAGAAAGCAGAACCACGACTAGACCCAAGAAGCATAGGAGGCAGTCTCGGAAGAGGATTAACCAATCACTTTTAGACGAGTTGGAAGAAGAGCTAGATGACGACGACAATTTGCTTGATGAAGAGAGTGATCCTGTTTTGAGGCTCTGAAGAATGAAGACCCGTAGAACATGAAACACATCGCAATAGGCATTGTAAATAGTTCTTTTTGCTTGATCAAGCTGTAAAAATGACATTAACAAAACCATTTGCAAACTCCTTTTCACTTTGCCACCTTTCTTATTCATGTGTGGCATGAGTACTGCTTTCCACATTTGGTTCTTTACCACAGAGATGTATTGTAATCATGTGTAGTTGCACTGTGATCCTTTTATTCTAATGGAAGTTGATTTCCTTAAAAAGAAGTCTGGTAGAAGTACTGTGCTATCCTTGCTTCTAAGTGCAGAAGCTTTTCCTCGCGTTTCAACCAGGGAGACTGTGTACCCGCCTCGAGCTCGACATCTTTCTTGCCAAGGCTTTCGAATGCGCGAAGAAATTGCGTGTCAAGCAAAAATCAACACTTCATGGGATAGGACATCCTCTTCGTCTAGCAGTCTATAGCGTATAAATTTAGCGTAGACACTTCAGAGGCACGAGATAGCGCCATAAAATAAAAAGAGGTGCAGATATTATATACAATACTAAGGTACATATTTCTTTCTCTGTTCCATGAGGGTTTAGCGGAGGAGAGGATCCACTTCCGGATGATGGAAATGATCAAATTCGAGAGTAGTGTGCAATATACAAAGGATAGCAATAAAAGGTAAAGTTGGAACCGCAAAAGAACATATAAAAACAGGCTACTAGAAATATCAGATATCTAAAGCAAAGAAAAATCGGGATTCTTTGGATATAGATTAGGGGTGGCAGGGGAGGAAAATAATACAGAAATCCCAGACAGCGTCAAAGCACTGGATTAAGCTCAATGGAACATCACCACACAGCGCCAACAAGAGTCTTGGTGGAATTACCTCTTTGAATTTACCTTCAAACCTTGCTGGGACTTCGGATGCTTTTCAACCTCACTTGGATCCAACCATTTAATAAGAAGATGGCGATAAGTACTTGCCAATGTAATCACTGAAAATGCCGACAGCATTATCTGCATCAGCTCTCTGCTAGGTTCTACCCTTTCCAGTATCAAAATGTAAGCCGAATACTTTTCAAAGGGTTAACATATCTCCCAGCACAAACAGAAAATTTATGTCTCACGAAGTATCTACTCCATTTATGAATTGCCAAGCTGAACAAAGGCATGCATCTCAATGACGCACGAGAATCCCCAAACAATTCAAGTAATATTTACTTCCCTGAATACCAATCAGTCAAAATGGAGACGGAGCACTCGATCTCGTACCAATACACACAACACAGGGGTATTGAACAGGAACTCGAACCCAACAAAATACAGAAGCAAAAAGATCAAAAAACTAGCATTGCAGGGCTTTACCCGGAGGGAGCCCTTCCAGAAATTCTCAAAGGCCTGGGCCAAACCCAGGCCTAAGAGGGGTTTGGAAATAGTTTTCAACCAGCAATAGACGCGCCTCGGTTAGAACCTCACTAGCTGCGTCATTGCCCCAAGCGCAAAGATGCTATAAACGTGTCTCTTCGGTTTCTTTATATACCACAGCCTCGCCTTCCTCAAAGCTGGATTTCCTCGATGTGGGACTTCTCAAGCGAACGCTATAGCTCTCGTAAAGGCAGAGTGTTGGAAAAATGCTATCCGGACGCTTCGGGCGGAAAAATGCTATCCAAAATTGGCTGCCTTCATGTTAGCACGAAAGAAACGAGGCGTCGCACCTGATACAAGGGACGAAAAAAGGCAGTGTCAACTCAAGAACAGAGGAATTTCAACATTGACAATGGCAGGTTCTGGGCCTCTAGAATTTCTATCTCCGACATTATACAAGATCTTCTAAACTATGAAAACCTAACTCAACTTGTGATTTATTTATTTAAATATATATATATATATATATGGATGTATATGTCGCAGCAATTGTTCGTATCAGCATTTGGCAAATCCTAATTATGCGTGTTCCCTTGTGTGCTCTAATTCCATGGTGTGATAGAATGGCAGGCAGTGGAGGAGTGTGAGAAGCAGATGAAAGTGAACGCACCTTATTTCACAAACCAACAAATATAGCAACATCTACTCCTACCTGATACATTTATAAAATTTTAGTATGCTAGTTGCAAACGGATCCTCGATGGTGTGGTAGAATGTGGAAGGAGGAGGAGGAGGATTGTTGGAGCATTTGGAATTTTCATTTCTGTCAGGCCAATTCGAATACGGTACAGGCGGAGCCTGATCCCAACAAGATAGAGCAGCCGCATGCCAAAGAGATTTGCCCAGGCTGTGTTTTGAACTTGGGTGATGCTCAGTCCATGATAGTGATTGAAATATTAGATTTGGTTAACTTTTCAAGACACGTTGATTTGGACATATCGCAGCGAGCTAAATCTTTTATACTTGCTAGATGTGGCTAACAAGAACTCGAATTTGAGGTGAAAGTTGAAACCAGCCAAACACATGGACGATAAAGTTATCCGAGAAAGAAAACCAAATTTGATTAAACATCGTATAAAAGAAAACATACTTGATCAAAGCTAGGAAGAACTCATACCAATGTGATAACTAAAGAGCAACAAAATTCTCAATAAACTCTAAAAATATTGGGTCTTCGATCAGATGTTACACAGGCAATTTAAGATGAAGAGCCGCTTCGAAGGGCTTAGGCTTTCTTGCTTGTGGCCAACTGGGTCTCGGGCTGCAAGACCAACAATGCATCCATGTTAGACAGGTGATGTGAAGGGGAAAACAAGACAATAACCATATTAACAATCAATACCTCCTTCCTCACAGGTTCTTCCTTCTCAGATAAAATAAGCTCAATATGGCAGGGAGATGACATATAAGCTGCCAAAAAGATATTCAAAATCAATAAAAGCACACAGTAATGTTGACACTAAGATCTCAAGATTTCTGACATACGGTTGATCCTTCCATGAGCTCGGTAGGTGCGGCGTCTCTGCTTCTGTGCTTGATTAACCTGGATATGTGAAATATAGAGGGCATCGACATCCAAACCTTTCACCTGGAAGAAAGCAGTAAGAAGTTAAAAATGTGGTAAACATTTAACACCAATAGGAAGCAACCAGATAATCATATGACGTACTTCAGCATTACTCTCAGCATTCTTAAGCAAGTCCAGAATGAATTTAGCTGATTTAACAGGCCAACGCCCTTGCCCATTAGAATGTCTATTCTTAGCCTGAGCTGTCCTACCAACTCCACCACAAAACCTTCGGAATGGAATGGCTTGTTTGTGTGCTAGAACATCCTCCAAGTACCTCTTAGCCTTTGCCAAGGGTAACTTCCTGATGGCAAAGGCAGTCTCTCGAGTATTCTGTAGACATCAAAAAGCCAATAAACCATTAGAAAATTCAAAAGTCACAGTAAGCAAATATAAAAGGACCACAAGTTTACAAGCATATTTTCATAAATAAATATATGCAACTATCATACATGTTCCATCATTTACTGAACCTTCAGTCATAAACAAGATACAGAGGTTCACCCAATAACAATGGAAATGATGTCCTGAAGTTTACGAGAGACCTGCTCATAAAATATGACAAATCCCTGCTTTTTTCATCAGGTTTCCCTATTCCCTAGCTTCCAAACAGTACACCTTTATCAAGGCTGGTACTGTCTCGTGCTAACAAAATAATCCTAATAATTTATTAATATGAAATTATACGCATCATGCCATTCATTCACAAAAGACATTTCTCCTGGTTAAAAAAAAAAAAAAAAAGGTATTTTGGGATCTTTATAGTTACTAAATTTAGATATGACTTGCGGGTGTATGCAAGTAAAGCAATGTTCCATCATTTACTGAACCTTCAGCCACGAACAAGACACAGGTTCACCCAATAACAATGGTGATGATGTCCCTGAAATCTACGAGGGACCTGCTCATAAAGGAAATCAGACCCCTGCTTTTTTAATCAGGTTTACCTATCTCCTTAATAATAGGCTTCCAGCAAATGCATTAAGCTCCATTATTTCATTGAATTGCACTTAACCATAACTGTTTGGTAAAAACTCACTCAGTAATTCAGACAACGTAATACACACTGTAACAATCATTTAGAGAAAAGTTCTGGATAAAAAATTGCTGGATGCATGAAGAATGCAAGTTGAAAAAGGCCTAACTACGTGTATGGATACCAAAGTTAAATACGATTCATAGAAGGGTGGGCGTAAAGCAGATGTTCCATCATTTACTGAACCTTAAGCCACAAACAAGACATTGGTTCACCCAATAACAACGGTGATGTTCCTGAAATCTACGAGAGACCTGCTCATAAAGGAGACCAGACCCCTGCTTTTTTTTATCAGGTTTACCTAATTCCCTAGCAATAGGCTTCTAGCAAATGGACTAAAGCTCATTTATCACATTGAGTTGAACTTAAAAGTATAACTGTTTGGTGGAAAATCACTCAATTCAGACAATAATGCGCGCTGCCACATTCATTCAAATAAGTTTTTTGGGAAGAACAAAAAACTGCTGCATGCGTGATGAAAGTAAGGTTGAAAAAGGTCTGTTCCAGCACCTTTATTAACTATGTGTATGCACACCAAAGTTAAGTATGATTCATAGATGTGTGCAAGTAAAGCAGATGTTCCATCATTTACTGAACCTTCAGCCACAAACAAGACATAGGTTCACCCAATAACAATGGTGATGATGTTCCTGAAATCTACGAGAGACCTGCTCATGACGGAAACCAGACCCCTGCTTTTTTATCAGGTTTTCCTATTTACTTAGGAATGGAAATTCTGTTTCCAAAAGCTCCATTATTTCGTTGTATTATAATTCAAGCACTATATCTGAAAAAGCCCAGTAATTAATATAACATAATACACATTGCAACATTCATTCACAGAAAATTTATGTTAAAAAAATGCTGTAACTGGAAAGGTGCAAGGTTAAGAAATAGACAGACATTCTCCTTGTAATTCATAAAAATACAATATTTGGAAATAGAAAGCTGGAATGGATCAATGATGACAAAAAAGAACTAACCCTGCATACAAATGGCACAGTAATTATACACATTCGTTCAAAATAACGTTAATAAGACAATGACCAATTAGAGATTAGTACCTTGAAATGGACTCTGAGGTCGGAGCCTCTAGCCTTGCAGGCTGCAAAAAGGAGCAAAATTGCATATCAGATTAAATGATTCAATCAAAAACCTACATCTCAAAATCATAATATTCCAAATCCCCACCAAAAGAATGCAGCTCTAATGGTATAGGAAAATGATCGCTAACAGCGGAACTTAAGCAGACAATACATCGTCATATAGCTCCATTAAAGCCCGCCCGAACAGCTTAAAACTAAAAGATAGAAGATTATCAGATATTATGAGCTTAAGAAAGCAAAAGGGCACTTACACTTGGTAGGATTGTCCGGCTCCCTTGAGTACTTCACCTAAAAAATACATTAAAAACAAACAGAAAAGAAATATCAATAAACCACAACGAGGGAATGAAGAACGAACAGATAATGAACGAGATAGAAGAAAAGCATCTTCACCATGGCGTCTGTTATGGGAGCTTCTCTCTAGCCTCGCCGATGGCCTTCGGTGTGTAGAACGAAGCTGCACCGCGATTTGTTATTCTTATATGAAAGGACTATGGGAAACCCTAGTTCGCTTCGAGCCACAACATGAACAATACCACACGAAGGCCCTCTAGTCCACCGGGCCCATAATATGAAGCCCAAACATATAAAATGTTTCGGATGGCATTTTTAAATCTTTTCTCATGAGCCTACGGGCGGCAACAAACACGCAGAGATATTAAATTTTCTTTGGATGATATTTTTAATTTGCATAACTTATCCCAAAATTTTTTTGCAAGTATTCACGAAATTAATAAGTATAAGGAATTATTTGCTCAATATATGGGGGAAATGGAAAGGAGAAAATTTTTTAATAAGCTTAATTTAAAAAATTGGAGAAGTAAAGTTTCAAAATTTTAATAAAAAAAGTTGTACGATAAAAGAGTAATAAAAATTAATTAAAAGCTTTTAACCCTATTTTTTTAAATTTTTAAATAGAGTTCATTAAAAAATTTTCTCGCCTTCCTTTCATTCTATTTTTCTCATACGAAAGCCATGGCCAGGAGGGGATATGCCGATTCGCTGGTGAACATGGAGGTTATCCCCGGTGATCTAGGAGGGCATCAGTAAGTAAAGCTTTTTGGTGTTTTATGAGACAAATCCACTCGTGTGTGTGTGTGTATTTGTAAAATATAAAATCACTTAAAATAAGTTAATCCAACATTTTTGTTTCTTTTAGTTTTGATTTTGCTGCTTTAATGGTTGGTTACACCTTTTAACTGATCATTGGACCAATTCAGAGAATGAGGTTAGCCAATTAAAAATCAGTGAATCTGTTATGAATATTGCATGAGTGGATGTCCATAACCCCTAACCCTTAGAATTCTCATAGGATTCCTCACCTTCAAGTGTCATAAACTACATAACCTCCCTAATGAATGTTTTTGGGAGGAGTTTCTTATTGTTAATGCTATTATGATGTTCTTTATTCCTTTGTAACCTTAGTATAGGACTTCAATGCTTGGAGGCCTATAAATAGAGGGCATACATGAGGCATTTGTACCTTGAACCAAAGTGAATGAGAAAAGGCCATTGTCTTCTCTACCTCTTGCTTTCTTTTCTACTCTTCATTCTCCTTATTTCTTGTAGTTTTACAACACGTTATCAGCACGACCTTGCTCTGAAAATTTGAGGTATAAACCCTTCGTAAGATGATGCACTCTTCTCATCGTCTAATTATCTCCTTACTCAATCATCACAATATATATCTATGTATTGACTACATATTAACTTTATATTATCTCCTTTCTTAATTATCATGTTTTATATTATATAATGTTACTCTATTGTTCTTTTCTTTACATTTTAATTTTTTTTTTCATTATGTTATATATATATATTTATTTTATGTTAACATTCTGTTTTATTTTAAGTCATTTTATTTTTGTTGTCACATTGTAAAATATTATGTTTGTTTCAAATAATTGATGTAATTTATGTATCATCTCCATTTGGTATCTATGGTATTTTATTATTTTATCTGTGTTGTACTAACTCTCATATACATATAATTTACAGTGTCCCATGTTGTTTTATCTATATTGTACTAACCCTTATATACATATATATATATATATATAATTTACTGTTGTTTTATCTATATTGCACTAACTCTCATATATATATATAATTTACACTGTTTATATATATATATTTTTCCTATCATTCTATTTGTTCGTATTTATTTATGTTGTTTATATAATTTATTTATAATAAGGCCTAATAATTTATATGTTGTTTATTCATTATTTATCAATTTATATTTATTTCGTTTATCTCACTGTAGCATTATTTTTATTTTTATTTTTAGTTTAATTTTTATTATATATTAGTTAGTCTATTGTAATATTTATATATTTATTTATATTACCGCATTTACATTACCCCCTTCCCCCTATATATTTATATATACATTGTCTCTATATTATTATTGTAACTAATTATTTGTGTTGTTTTTTTTTTTTTCCTCATATATGTTTATTTGTCATTGTTTATTTATTCATTTATTTTGTTTATAATTTTAAAGAATAATTTATTTATGGGTGACTTTTGAATCCTAATATTTTATTTATTGTGTTTCAGTGTGCATCAATTTTATTATAATTCTAATTTTTGTTATTATCATTTTAGTTTGATCCATGGCCAATCTTACCAAACTCGAGTTTACGGCTCTTGATATCACTGGAAAAAACTATTTGTCTTGGGTCTTAGATGCTGAAATCCACCTAGATGCCAAAGGTCTAGGAAGTACTATTTTACCTGGAAATGAAGCAACTAGCCAAGACAAGGCTAAGGCTATGATTTTCCTACGCCACCATTTGCATGAAGGGTTGAAAGCTGAATACCTGACGGTAAAAGACCCGTTAGAATTGTGGAATAATTTAAAAGAAAGGTATGATCATCAAAAAACGGTAATTTTGCCTAAAGCTCGTTATGAATGGATGCATTTGAGGCTCCAAGATTTTAAATCTGTGACTGAATATAATTCAGCAGTTTTCAAGATAAGTTCTCAATTGAAATTATGTGGTGAGAAAATAACAGATGAGGACTTATTAGAAAAAACATTTTCAACTTTTCATGCTTCAAATGTGCTCCTGCAGCAGCAATATCGTGAAAAGGGTTTTAAGAAATATTCTGAATTGATCTCATGTCTTCTTGTGGCTGAACAAAATAACGAGCTATTAATGAAAAATCATGAGATCCGTCCCACTGGATCAGCTCCATTCCCTGAAGCGAATGTGACTGTACGCAATAATCATCATACACGTGGACGCGGTCGTGGTCGTGGCCGAGACCGTGGTCGTGGTAGGGGACGCACAAATTACCGTCATTATGGTGGGGGAAGCAACAATTATAACCCAAATACCCACCAAAAGAAGAAACTTGGGGATGGGCAGAAAAAAGATAAGAATGGCCCTTCAAGAGTTGTTGAAAATCAATGTTACCGGTGTGGCATGAAAGGACATTGGTCACGTACCTGTCGTACGCCTGAGCATCTAGCAAAACTTTATCAGGCTTCTATAAAAAGAAGTTCAAATAATGTGGAAGCAAATTTGACTTTTCAAAGTGATGATGTGGAGGCAAATTTTGCATACAAAAATGATAATATCAATGAGCTAGATGATGTTAATGGCCTTGATGCTATGGCACATTTGGATGTGGCTGATTTCTTTGAGAATCATGATTAGAAGAATTTGGATAATTTTAGTTTGCTTTATTTATGCTTTTTAATTTAGTTTATGTTTATTTATTTCTCTTTTTTTTAAGAGTATTATTAATCATGATGTACTTCGAATTTATATTAATGAATGTTTTTTTTTTGGTGAAGAATATGGATGTTTCTCTTCCTTTTGTTGGGCACAAGAATGAAGATATATGCCTGATAGATAGTGCTACAACACACACCATACTCAAAGATAGAAAATATTTTTCTCATCTTACGATAAATAGTGCAAGCGTCAATACTATAGCGGGTAATACAAAACTAATTGAAGGCTCCGGAAGAGCAATTATAATATTACCCAGAGGAACAAAATTTGTTATTAATGATGCTTTATATTCCTCGAAGTCTCAAAGAAATTTATTAAGTTTTAAAGATATTCGCCAAAATGGATATCATATTGAGACTATAAATGAGAAGAACATTGAATATTTGCATGTTACAATGGTAAGAAATGGAGAAAAATATGTCATGGAAGAATT